CCCCCCAGAGCAGAGCTGGGAGCGACAGGACCGGGGTCCCCCAGAGCTCGTGGGCCACCCTGCAGTGATGGGTCAGGCCCTGCACACACGTCCCACACTCACACACGTGTCCCTGTGCACACACCCCGTGTACCCCCTGTTTTTTCTCCCTGAGCCCCCCCGGGTGTGCCCTCCGGCTGCCCAGGGCAGAGGAAGGTGAGGAAGGACACACGGGCCATGCCGAGGGCAGGATGCTCCGTCTCGGGCAGTGGCACTTAATCAATCCCATCTCAAATCTCTAATTATCTCACCCGGGGCCTCGCTGGATGTGCCTCAGCCTGCTCCCGTATCTGTGGACTCCCCAGAAACTCCCCCCCTTTGTCCTTTATCCTCGGCTGGGAGCAGAGAGGGTGGGTGGCCTCGTGTCGGGGGGGACCCCACGCGCGGGTGGGAGAGAGGAGCATCCTGGGGGGGCTCTGAGAACCCCCAGGGTGAGGTCTCGCAGGTACCAGGCACGGCTGTGCTGGCACTTGAACGCGACCAGGGTCCCCATCCCTGGCGGGGTCCGCCCGCTCCGTCCCTCTCCCGGTCCTTTTGTCGGACACAAATGGCCGGTTTCCATCTGCGCGGCAGCATCTGTTCCTGCCGGGGAGATTTGCATCGCTAAATGTAAATTGGGTGTCGTATCATTTATCATAAACGGGAGGGCGGCGGGGGGGGGCGGCCAAACCCGGCCAAGTTGTCACCGGGAATCACTCGGCTCATCCTTCGCCCGTGCCGGGGCCGCGCGGGGCGGGACGGGGCCGGTCCCGAGCGCGGAGGGGAAACTGAGGCACGGGGGGGGCCCTCGGGGTCCACGCCCAGAGCTCGTCAGTCACCCCGGGGGAGGCCGGAAGGGGCCGGGGGTCAGGATCTGGTCCCAAGCCTCCCCTGTCCCTCCTCGCTGTCCGTGTGTCCCCGGGCCGGGATCCCCGTCCCCGACCCGCCCCGTCCCTCCCAGCCCGGCCGCAGACGCCTCCCTCGCCTCCTGCCCACCCTCCCCACCCTCCATCCTCGGTCGGACCTGGGAACCCGCCGTCGCAGCCGGACCGACCCCACCCCGGCCATGAAGGGCCCCCTGCGCGGAGGAATGTTCTCCCGGCATGTCAAACGGCACCCCGGAGTGAGTGACCCGGCCCCCCCCTCCCTCCAGGGACCCCCCCATCCCTCCCCTGCCCTCTGTCCCTCCTCCCGGGGACCCCCCGGCAGCCCCACATCCTTCAGGCTCGTCCTTGCCCGTCTCTTGCACGTGCCAGGAGCCCCTGGGCTTCTCCACGTCCTTCTCTCTTCATCCCACCCTGCATTCCTTGTGCCTTCCTCTGCCCTCTGTGCCAACTCCTCTTCCCCACGCTCCCCAAGACCCTCCTCAGCCCGCCAGTCCTGTGCCATCCCCGCTCCCCTTCCCACCATCCTCCCACTCAGCACCCTTTGGCTAAGCCGGGGGTCCTGGGGGTCCCCATCCCTCCTTCTCCAAGGAAAGGTGAGACCACCCGGTGCTTCCCACCCCGTGCCCTCCATCCAGCCCTGCCAAGGGAGGGACCAGCACCGTGGGCACGGGCAGAGAGGATCCCCGGGGTGCTTCCAGCATCCCCCAATGGGCAGCCCAGGCCGGGCCTCCTGCGTGATCCTCGCTGCCCAACGGAAGGATTTGGGATGTTCCTGTTCCTGCCACGGTTTCTCCAGCTGAGGAGCTGGGAGTGGCTTGGGGGGCACAGAGAGACCCCCAGACTGGAGGTGTAAAGGCCCGGGGGGGGGTCCTGGGTGCTGGTACACGGCGGGTTTGTTGCTGGGGCAATTTTTGCGGTGTCACCCTCCCCTGTGGGGTGTCACCCACCCGTCCCAGTGCTCGGCTGTGGATTCCTGGATGCCTGGCACTGATGGGCATCCCAGCCACGCAGGACCAGAACCCGCTGGCACTGCTCGGTGGGCACCGATCGGGCACGGGGGCAGAGCCTGGCACTGCTCCCCACCGCCCACCCACCGGCGGGAAATGGGGGGTTCCACCGCTGGCACCCGCGGCTTGGCAGCCCCCCGAATCCTTGCCGGGCATTCATTAATCACCCAGGCGGTGTCGGCAGCAGATGGTGAGACGGACCCGCCGCCCCGAACCTCCTCCGGCAGCCACAGCAAACTCCCGGCGCTGCGGCGGCTTCTCCATTCGCCAGCGCTTGGGCAGAGGCTGCTGCCAGCTCCTGCTGGCACCCGGTGCCAGGGACCGTCATCCGCCGGTGGCCCCGACCCTCCTGGATGGGCGCTGGCATCTGCCGGGCGCTCCATCATCGCAGCTCGGCTTGAGCGGGGCGCCGCCGGGCGGGAGCTGGGCCGTACTGGGGGCACTGGGAGAGGACGGGGGGGGCCGGTGGGGAGCGAGGGCTGGGCAGGGGGACGCTGCTGTGGGCTGGTGGTGGTGGGCAGAGGGGTCGCAGTGACCCTTTTCAGCGTGTTCCCACGTGCCACCCGAGCGGGGACACTGAGTCACGGGGGGGTGGCTGTTCGGGTGGGGGTCTGGGGACCCCGTCTCTGGCTGCAGCCGCCGAGCAGAGGCTCGAACGGGGCCGGGGGTTGTCGAGGCGGCTCCGGCGGCCCCGCCGCCGTTTAATGGGCACGGCGAGGCTCCGGCTCCCAGGGGCACGGCTGGCGCCAGGCTCATTACCGCGCCCGCGGCTTCCCCGGCGCGGGGGCCGCGGCAATTTGGGGGAGGTCAAAGCAGCCTCGGCTCGGCTCCGATTGAGGCCGCGCCGCGCCGGGCACTGGGGGATTGGCAGCGAGAGCCGAGACGGGGAGATGGAACCGGTGTCGCTCGGCCGAGGTGTGACGGGAGCCGCTGTGATGGGCACGGGGAGGGGGGCGAGGGCACCTCGTGCTCTCAGGGGTCACCGAGTGCCCCCCTAGACCGGCTCTGGACCCCCAGCTGCTTGGCCCCAGTGTGTCCCAGTCCTTTCCAGCAAGAGGAACTGAACACTCCTTGTCTCGAGCTCCGCCAGGAGATGGTGCAGAGGGGGGGGGGGGGGGGCTTGGGGGGGCTGTGGGGGGACAGGGACACTGCCCAGGTCATGGTGTGGCTCAGGGACAAACCCTGCCCGGGACCGAGTCCCTCCAGGAGGAACCATGAGCTGATGCTCAGCCCTGAGCCGGAGAACTGGGAACCCTGGGAATGCTGGGAATGGGGTGCTCAACCTCAGGGAAGAACCATCAGTGGAGGCTTGGCCCCGAACGGGGGCACTGGGGATGCTGGGAGTGCCAGGAATGGGGTGCCCAGGACTGAGTCCCTCGGTGAGGAACCGTGACCAAGGCTCAGCCCTGGGCAGGGGCACTGGAAACACTGGGAATGCCAGGAATGGGATGCCCAGGCCTGAGTCCCTTGGCAAGGAGCCGTGACCAAGGCTCAGCCCCGAGCAGGGGCACTGGAAACGCTGGGAGTGCCAGGAATGGGGTGCCCAGGACTGAGTCCCTCAGTAAGGAACCGTGAACTCAGGCTCAACCCTGAGCAGGGGCACTGGAAACGCTGGGAATGGGGTCCCAGGGTCCTCAGCAGCACCAGCACGGGGCAGCCACGGGCAGAGGGGAAGCGATTTCTCATTCCAAATCCAATTCCTCTCCAGCACGAGCCGATTTTTCTCTCCCTCTTTTAATTCAGTCACTCAAGCTGACAGCTACACTGTGTACTGCAGCCCGGCTACAGGATTGCTCTGCCATATTCCCCCTGTAAATCTCCCGGCGTGTCAGCTCTGCCTTTCACTCTCCAGTCCGCCTGATAAATATTCATTTTATTGGGGTATTTTTCATTTCTCTCTCTCTCTCTCTCCCTTTCTCTCTGCAGCTCATTCCCCTCATTGGCTTCATCAGTGTGGGCCTGGGCAGCGCGGTGCTGTACCTGCTGAGGCTGGCACTGTACAGCCCCGACGTCAGGTACGGGTTGGGGTGCCCCGGGCACCCCCCGGGCTCTCATCCCGGGCACCCCTTGGGCGTTGACCCTGGGCACCCCTTGATCTCTCACCCCGTGCCCCCCCCGGGCTCTCACCCCACACCCTCAGAGCGTGGGGGGCTCAGCCCCGATATGGTGAGAGGGTGTTTGGGGTGCCCAGACACACCCGACCCCTTCCTGGGGAGTGGTGGGGGGCAGATGTGGGTGCAGAGGTGCCCCGAGGGGGTGAGGGGAGCTGGGGGGTTGTGTTCCCTCTCCTTGTTTTGGGGGGGGGGGGGGAGAAGGGCTCCTCCAGCTCCTCTGGGAGGAGGGTGGGTGGGTGGGTGACAAGGTGGGGAAAAGCTGAGTGTGGCTGAGGGACAAGGGGAAAAAATGTGGGGAGGGAACTGAGGGGAATGGGGAAGGGTGGGATGGATGGTGAGAGAGGGAATGAAGAGAGGGAGGGAGGGAGAGACAAAAACCAGCAGGAAAGGATGAGCAGAGGGAGAGGTGTGAGGATGGAGGGAGGGATGGAGGGATGGAGGGATGGAGGGATGGGGGATGGAGGGATGGATGGAGGGATGGAGGGATGGAAGAACGAGCGGAGGAAGAGGAAGGGTGTGAGGTGTGAGGATGGATGGAGGGATGGATGGGTGAGGGATGGGTGTGGGGAGGGTGGGACTGAGGGAGGAATGGGAAATGGGCAGATGGATGGTTGGAGAAGGAATGGGGAGAGGGAGGGAGGGAGGGACAGGCAAAAGCAGGGGGGAAGGAAGAGCGGAGGGAGAGGTGTGAGGATGGATGGAGGGGTGGGGACAGAGGAGGGGGTGCCTGGGTGGAGGGAGGGATGTGGAATCACAGATGGGCAGGACAGCCCCACATCCTGGGGGGACCAGGCTGGTTTTCCCGTGTCCCCACAGCCCCCCCACCTCGCTCACAATAATTATTTGCTCCCGGTAAAACCACTCATGGATTTAATCTGGCACCAGCTGAGCTCAGCTCTGCAATTAGCACATCCAGACACCTTGGCTTGGAGGGTGGGAGTGCAGGGGGGTGTTTGGGGGGGGGGCACAACAGCCCCCCCAGCACATTAATGCCATTAACAGCTCCGGGGGGGCTGCGCTTGCAGCACGGCCCCCCCTCCATCCCCCAATAACACACACAAACATCTTCCCAGATGGAAAATTCTGCTCTTGGCCAGCGCCAGAGGATGGGGGGGGGATGGAAGAGGGGGGGACGTGAGCTGCTCTCTCCAGGGACCCCATCCCACGGCTCTGGTGGCCTCCCCACGCCCCTCCCGGGACAGGACGGGATGTGTCCGGTGTGGGAAGGCTCCGAGGAGAACTGGGGATGGTGACACCGGGGCTGGGGGCACTGGGGGGGGGGGCAAGGGGGGGGGGGGGGGTCTCTCCCCACTCCCTGCAGGTGCTGATGTCCCTCCCCATCACCCCCCCCCCGCAGCTGGGACCGCAAAAATAACCCCGAGCCCTGGAATAAGCTGAGCCCCACGGACCAGTACAAAGTGAGCACTGGGTGAACTGGGGGCTGGCAGGGGAGGGGGGAGCAACCACTTTTAGGGCAAAGCACCGTGTTTTCTTTGGGAAGGGGAAAGGGGGATCAGCCCTGGAGTGGAGGTTCATGGTTCCCACGGCTCCTTGTGCTCAGATTTGGGGAGGGGGGCACTGCGTGTGTCCCCCCCTCACCTCGGGGCTGCAGCGACAGCAGGGAGGGGAATCACGACCCCCCCCTCACCTCCCTCCCTTCTCCAGTTTCTGGCAGTTTCCACCGACTACAAGAACCTCAAGAAGGAGCGTCCCAGCTTCTGAGCCCCCCCCGGGACGTGCTGGGGTGGGGGGGGAACCCACCCCCGCCAGAAGAACCCCCCAGCTCTGCCAAAGCCACTGCACACAGGTCCCACCGCTCCCCCAGCCCCCCAAAACTGTGTGGCCGAGTCCCCCCCCCCAAATAAACCACATCCCTGCAGAGCCCCCGCGCCCCTCACGGTCACGTTGTGCCTGCACTGAACTCCCAGGACAGCAATAAATTCTAGGGGGGGGGGCAGCAAACCGGATTCTTTATGGTTTCCCAGGGCCTTTGATGCGGGAGATGTTGTCACACCCCCTCCCCCGGGAAGGCTGGGGGGGGTCACATCCCACTGGAAGCAGCAGGAGCCCCCCCCGGGTGCCGCATTTCCGCTCTCCCACGCTCCAGGTCCCCCCTCGGACCCCACCCTGGACCCTCTGGAGAGGGCGAGGGGGTGGAGGGGTCACACCACACGTGTGTGGATGCACATACGTGTGCTGGGGGCGTGACACGGGGCAGGAAAAGGGGGGGGAGGGCAGCCTGGGCTACGGCCCCCTGACTTGTTTTGGGGCTCAGTGTCACCCCCTGCCCTCAGAGCCCACCGGGTGAAGCCCCAGGACGGGGACACCGAGGCACAGAGACCCCCCCCCCCAGCTCTCCTGGTGCAGCGCTGAGGGGCTCCAGCAACCCACCCCCAAAACCCCCCCAGTGCAGCACCCACACACCTCCAGACCCCCCCAGTGCAGCACCCACACACCTCCAGGCTCTGCCCCCGCTTTTATTAGCAACCCCCCCCCATAGAAAAGTGCAAGATGAGGCTGTAACAAGTGGTGCCCCCCCCTCCAGTCAGGGTCTGGGGGGGGGTCTCTGCACCCTAACACTGAGAGCAGGATGGGCGGGCGCCGTCCCCACGGGGAGGGAGCGCCCAAAGGTGCTGAAGGGGGACGAAGGGGAGCGGGGAAAGGGCAGAGGGGGGCGGGTTTCAGCCTCCCCTCGCCCCCCCCCGGGTGGCCCCAGCCCGGCAGGAGGGGTTTCCCCCCCCTCAGTGGTCACTGAAGCCGGGCATGGGGAAGGCACGAGCGAAGGTCTCGACGCGCTGGCGGAGCTCGGCCAGGCGCCGCTGAGTCTCGGGGTCCTGCAGCAGGAAGGTCTTGAAGTCCTGGAGCTTACCTGGGGGGGGGGGGGGGACACACACACAGGGGGGGAGGAAGGGGGGGACCCCACGGCAACCCCACCCCTGCCCGGGTACCCGCAGGGGAAGCTCCGCCAGGCTGGGGAGCGGGGCTGGCACCAGCACGGGGCACACCCCAAAGGGAGAGGGGCCGGTGGGCACCCAGGGGGGCACAGGGAGAGACGGGGGGGACACACGGCCCGTCCCCACTCACTGGTTTTGCTCTTGACGTCCAGGGCCAGCGCGATGCCCTCGTCGATGAACTCCACGACCTTCTGGAAATCCTCCTCGCGGAAGTGGCGCGAGGTCAGCGCGGGGGCACCTGGGGATGGACCCGTCAGGGCTGGGACCACCATGGGGGAACAGCCCCCAGGGAGCTCCCCAAGCCCCCCAAGGAGCTCCCCAAGCCCCCCCCCAGGAGCTCCCCCAGCCCCCCCAGGAGCTCCCCCAAGCCCCACAAGGAGCTCCCCAAGCCCTACAAGGAGCTCCCCAGCCGCCAGCCCCCATGGGGTCCTGTGCCCCTGTCTGTGCCCTGTCTGTGCCCCTGTCTGTGCCCCCTGTGCCCCTGGTCTGGGCCAGAACCAGCTCCGAACTCCCACAGGGAGCCCTCAGAGAAGGGTGAAGCAGTGGGGATGCCCCGGGGCAAAAGCCCGAGGACCCCCCCCCCCCCCCCGGGCCGGGCGGGACCCCCCCCCCGCAGGGCCCATCCCTCACCCAGGCGCAGCCCCCCCGGGGTCAGGGCGCTCTTGTCCCCCGGGCACGTGTTCTTGTTGGCGGTGATGGACACGAGCTCCAGCACCCGCTCCGCCCGCGCCCCGTCCATGCCCTTGGGCCGCAGGTCCACCAGCACCAGGTGGTTGTCGGTGCCCCCTGGAAAGCGAGGGGGAAGAGAGGGGGTGAGGACCCCCCGAGCACCCCCAACCCTCCCCTTGCTGCCCTTTCCCTGCACAGCTCGTCCCCGTCGTGCCCGGGGATGGTGGGCACAGAGTGGGCACAGAGCGTTACCTGACACCAGGGTGTACCCGCGCTGCAGCAGCGCCTGTGCCATGGCCTTGGCGTTCCTCAGGACCTGCTGGCAGTACTCCCGGAAGGCCGGGGAGCTGGCCTGGCAGCGAGGGGACACCCCGTCAGCGTGGGGGGCACGGGTCACCCCCCCCTGCCCCGAGCCCCCCCACCCCGGCCCCGGCCCAGACCTGTTTGAGGGCCACGGCCACGGCGGCGATGGCGTGGTTGTGGGGGCCGCCCTGCAGGGAGGGGAACACGGAGAAGTTGATCCTGTCCTCCAGGTCGTAGAGCGTCTCCTTGCCCGTCTTCTGGTCCACGGAGCGCACGCCCTTGCGGTAGAAGATCAGTCCCGACCTGGGGGCGAGAGACGCCGTGGGACACCGACCCCGTGGGACACCGACCCCCCCTGACCCCAGTGCCCCGGGGCAGCTCCGTCCCCACGGGACACGGAGCCCCCGGAACGTGGCCACGGCCTCACCTGGCGCCGCGCAGGGTCTTGTGGGTGGTGCTGGTGACGACGTCGGCGTGTTCGAAGGGCGAGGGGATGGCCTTGGCCGCCACCAGCCCGCTGATGTGGGCCATGTCCGCCAGCAGGTACGCACGGACCTCCTCACACACCTGGGGAGGCCGAGGTCACTCGCTGACCCCTGGGGACACCGCAGCCACCCACTGACCCCTGGGCTCACCATGGTCACATGCTGTCCACTGGGGACACCTGCTGACCCCTGGGGATGCCATGGTCACCCGCTGTCCCCTGGGACACTGTGGCCACCCGCTGACCCCTGGGGGCACCGCGGCCACCTGCTGACCACTGGGGACGCCACCGCCACCCGCTGACCCCTGGGGACGCTGTGGTCGCCCGCTGACCCCTGGGGATGCCGCGGCCACCCACTGACCCCTGGGGATGCCGTGGCCACTCGCTGACCCCCTGACCCCCCGGCACGCACCCTCTTCATGCGGGCGTAGTCGATGAGCCGGGCGTAGGCGCTGGTGCCCGCGATGACCAACCGGGGACGGAAGAGCCGCGCCGTCAACTCCAGCTGCTCGTAGTCGATCAGCCCCGTGGCCGGCTGTGAGGGACAGACAGACAGACAGAACCGGGTCACTCAGCCCCACGGCCGGCTGGGTGAGGGACAGATGGACAGACAGAACCGGGTCACTCAGCCCCACGGCCGGCTGGGTGAGGGACAGGCAGCTCGGTCAGCGAGCCCAGGGACAAACAGCCCAGGGTGAGACACATGGACAGACAGACAGACAGACAGCCCCATCAGTCGGCCCAGGGATGGACGGAGGAGACAGCCGGGTCAGTCAGCCCCAGGGCTGGTTGTGAGGGATGGACAGGCGGACAAGAAAGCTCAGTCAGCCCAGGAATGGATGGACAGACAGACAGACAGCTTGCCAAGGCACCCCTTCGCCCCCTGCTCTAACCACAGCACCTCTGGCTGAGCCGTGGGCATCTCCCATGGCACGGGGACATGTCTGGGACTCACTGGGACACAGAGGGGAGGGCAGGAGCAGCTCGGGCACCTCAGGGCACCACCGGGACCATCCACAGCCACAGCCCCCCCTTTCCCCCCCCTGGATCCCGCCCCTCAGCTCACATCAAGCTTGTAGGGCATCGACTCGAAGAAGATGGAGGTGGCCGAGATCCTCTTGACGTCGGACATGTACCCGTGGGTGAGGCTGCGGGGGAGGCGCGGGGTGAGCCCGGGACCCCCGGGAGGCAGCGGGATCCAGGCCCCCCCTCCCCAAATCCCCCCCACTCACTGGCCCCCGTCGGGCAGGTCCAGCCCCATGAGGCGGTCGTGGGGCTGCAGCAGGGCCGTGTAGGCGGCGAAGTTGGCCGGGGAGCCCGAGTAGGGCTGAACGTTGACGCCCCAGCGCGCGGGGTCCAGGTCGAAGGCCTCGAGCGCCCGCCGCTCGCACAGCAGCTCGATCTGATCCACCACCTCGGCCCCCCCCGTAGTACCTGGGGGACACGGCACGGGCTTATGGGGGCTCCCCCTGCCAGCCCCAGTGCAGAGGGCAGCCCCCCCTTTGGGGAAATCTCTCCTGCAGCTCAATCCTGGCTGCAGAGGGACCCCTGATGCCCCCCCAGCCCATTCCCCCATTTACCTCTTCCCAGGATAACCCTCCGAGTACTTGTTGTTGAGGCAGGAGCCCAGAGCTTCCAGCGCTGCCCGGCTGCAGAAATTCTGGAGGAGAACTGGGGGGGTCAGAGTTGGAGCCGCCAAACCCCCCCCTGCCCCGAGCAGAGGGTTCCCCTGGGCCCATCCCCAAGCCCCCCCCGGCCCCCACCTCCGAGGCGATGAGCTCCAGCCCCCGGCACTGCCGATCCTTCTCCTTCTGCACCAGGCTCCAGACCTCGGGGTCGCTCTCGGCCAGGCTCTCCTGCCCCGTCCACCCCGGCACGTGCCCGGTGGTGGCAGCGGTGGCAGCAGAGCCGTGCTGTGCCCGTT